AAGCTCGTGCATGTGGTCCCGCTAACGCTGCCAAGTGACGGGCTGATCCGCTGGAATTACTCTGGAATTCACTCTGGAACTTTTTTGCACCTCATGAAATGCCAGTAAAGCTCCAGCTCACCAGCCTGGCTTGTTCCCGAGGAAAAAGCTCCAGGTGCAGACACCAGGGCTGCCCGGGAGCAGCCTCTCCCCTCCCCGGTGCAGCACCCACGAGCCCCTTAACACAGCAAGCGGGGACCAGGCCCTGAGTGCAGCTTTGGAGTCAATGGATTCTCTGAAAGCCGCAGTATTAATGTAACCCCACTTTTTTTTTTTTTTTTTTTTTTGTTAAAAAAAACAACAAAAAAGCCCAAGATTGCAGTGAAACTGCTTTTGCCGCTGGTCTCAAGGAACCTCCCCTCTGCGTGTGGGTCTCTGTGCAAGGAGCCCTCCAGGCTCGGGGCAAGAGCGTGCCAGGTTGAGCAGCACTTTGGATAAGCCCAGCCCAGCCAAACTCAACTCGAGCTGTTTTTGTGAAGGTAAAACGCCGCTTTGGTTCCCCAAAGAGGCACCAGGATGCCCCCAGGACGTGGCCTCCCAAAGCTCCCAGCCCTGGCGGGGTTGTTTTTCCAGAGGATGCTCCACAGGGAGGGATGTTGAGCTGAGACACTGAAGCTATTTCTGGCTAAACAAGAACAAGAAAACAGGACCTCGGAGGGTGTTGAACCCAGGCACCGCAGAAATGCTCCCCAGCTGCTCGCACGGGCTGTGCCAGCCACGATTCTGCAGCACCTGACAGCGGGGACCGACCCCCGTCTCTCACCGCATCGCCCGCGCACCCGCAGCGGGGAAACTTCGCGAAAAGCCTCGGGAGTGAAATCCTGCCCTGCCAGGCTCCCCCAGACGGGCTCTCTGCTGGGTAACGGGGAAACCAGAGGTACAGGAACACACCCAGCCAGGGCCATGGCAGGATTCGACAGGCGTACAGAGAAACCCTGGTAATCTAATAGAATTTGAGATGCTACAGGTCCTGTCCAGCCTCGCCTTTCCACCAGCACTCTGTTCCCAGCCCCAGCCCTGCAGCTCCTGGCTGTCAGTCCTTCTCTCTCCGCAGCTTTGTTTCCTGCAGCCTAATGAGTCCTTAATTCAGCAGGCTTTGTCCCATAGATCTTGATTTGCCCTAGGACTGGCGGGAGCGTGCACTTTTCGGAGAGCTCTCCGTAGCAGCTGTTGGTGGGGGAGGCAGCAGGCAGGGCTCTGCCTTTAGAAAAGCAAACCTCTGCGCTGGCGGTGGCTGAGCTGGAGCCACGCTGCTTTTTGCCCGTTCAGAAAGTCGGAAAAAAAGGCACAAACCAGCCACAAGCACCCTGCAGGGCATCGCTTTGGAGGGACGGGGATTTCTTCCTGAGCTGAGTCCCGCAACGCTGGCGGCTGGCGTGGTGCGGGGAGGGACACGGGGGACGGCCAGCAGCAACCCCCATGTCCTCCGGCCGTGACCTCCCGGAGCCCTTTGGGAAGATGCGACCGATGCGTCATCACAACACGAAGTTCACCGTGTCCTGCAGAGACATCGGGTACGAATCGGGCAGGAAGAGGGGAGAGGGAGGTGGCAGGCAGCTGCTCCCGACTCGTTTAACGAATTTCCCCTCTTACAGGCAGAAAACCCCAAGTATTTCCCATCTCTTCCATGCACATCACAACTAACTAGCACCATGGCCTCAGCAGCTGCCACTCAGGTCTTCTCCACTGCACTTCAGGAGACAGATGGACCTCGTAGACCCGCTTTGTCCTCCCCCTCCCCTGCTCACACGGTGCCGGGACCCTTCCCACAAGGTGCTGCGAGCACCAGCCTGCCCAAAACCCCAGCAGAGGGAAAGCAGAAACAAACAATAAACCCGAGGAACATATTTTCACGTTTCACTGTCTCTCAGCCATAGGGATTTTTGGTGTTAGTTGTAGGAGTAATAAGTGAAACATTTTCAGAGTGTGATTTGGAAGCCGATGGTGCTGCACGGGAACAACAACAACGTATGCGGAAAGTGGGATCTGCCCGGGAATTATTTCTGAGCAGAAAATAAAAAGGCCTAGGAGAGTATTACAGCAGTGAGTAATCTAAGCGGCTGAATTACACAGAGACCCCACCATTTCATAGTATTTCTATCTCCCGCAGCTCCCGGGGAGGTTTCCAGCTTTCCCTGGGTGCTCCCCAAGCTCTGGGCACAGACAGAACTGGGGTTTGGATACTGGGGATGCTGCTCACTCCCCCTCGCCGACCGCAGCGCCCCGAAACCAGGGGCAGCCCTCGGGCTGATTTATTAACAGGCAATGATGTGCGTCTCCTCAAACCAACCTGCTCAGCCAAGTTTTTAACACAGGGTCAAACCTCCTGCCCTAAGAAGGAATCGGCTGCTCCCGTGAAGCCGTTGTTGTTTTAAAGCAGACGCAACAAGACGCCAAAATCACGGGGGCGATTCGGCTGCCGAAGAGCTGCGTGCGTGCTCTTTATTGAGCCGCACTGCTCCTCGGGGACGGAATTACGGGGGGACGCGTGGCTCTGCGGAGGGAGCCTGCGCGCAGGTGAGCTGGAGCCGCTTTGTTTCCCCGCCTTGTTTTCCAGCAGCTATTATGGAACAGGAAGGAGGCAAACAGGAGGCAGCGCTAACCCCCAGCACTAACCTCCCACAGTGAGCACAGCCCCCCTGCCCCACATACTCACCCAGAAATATTATTTAAATCCTGCTTACCCAGCTACAGGGCTCTCCGCAGCCAGAGAGTCCTGCTACAAGGCTTTTGCAGGAGCCTCTCCCGCTGGCTGAGCTATTATCTTTTCCTCCACTCCTCTTCTATTTTGCTGTCATTTGTTCTCACAGAATGGTTTGGGCTGGAAGGGACCTTAAAGATCATCTAGTTCCAACCATCGAGCGGTAGCTCGCTGCTGTCGCTGACAAGCGGGTATTATTCAGCATCTGGATACGAATTACAAATTCAGACTGCTTTAAAAATCCCGCCAGCCAGATTTTTCCAAGGCAACGAGTAACTGCAGCCCCTGCTGAAGTCCAGGGGACTCAAAATCAGGCCAAAACTCACTTGTCACCACAGCGTCGGCGGAGTTTGACGTTCGCCTCATTTCGCAGATGGCGGACAGCCACCGCGAGGGCACGGCAGCTGGGAAAGGCTAAAGTAAAGCCCCTCAAAAACGCACTGAAGCACCTTAAATAAGCGGCTTGATTTTTCAAAACGAGCCAGAGCTGCGAGGGTGAGGGCCAGCAAGCGCAGACTCGGGCACCCACGCTGGAAACGTGCTGGCGGGTGGCCCGGGTGAGCGTGTCCAGGTGGGCCCCTGCCACTCGCACCCTCCTGTTGCTTCCCAAACGCCGCCCGTGAGACCACAAAGCCGGTGCCCCGAGGACGCGACCATCGGCGCGAGACGGGGCAGGTGGAGAGGGACACGCCTCACCACCGCTACCTTCAGCCCTGCACCTCCTAAGCTCGCTTCTTCCTTTCTCCTCAAGGATCCTAAGACCGGGAACACTTAAGAAGACTCATCTGAGCGTGGCTCTGCCTCTAGATGCTTCACGGTCCATGGGAACATCTCCTTGCCCGAGACCCAAAGGTAATGACTCTTTTTTTATCTTTCTTGGCGGTTTCACTCCAGGTTTCTATACAAGCGAGCCAGATTCAGCAGGGCTGGACGCTAAGCCTGAGGCGAGGGTGTCCGTGCACGCTGCAGGAGACGGCACGGGAAGACCCCAGTCCTGCTGGGCCCTGGGGAGCGGGAGCAGCGCAGTGCCGGATCCCTTCATCCCCCACAGAAGCGGAGCAGCAGGACCAAATCCCCGGGTGCAGGCCGAATACTACATCCCTTGGAAACCGCAGGGGGAATTTGGGCAAGCAGATTGTAATTACCTGGCCTGGCACCGGCCCAGAACGCCAGCACTAGCTCCTTTCCAAAACCAGTTCCTCAACACGAGGGCATGAGAGCGGCGGCCGGGATCTCACCGTTGTGCCCTTGATGAAAGGCAGAACCTCGGTGTCCCCATCGCTGCGCCCGGGTGCCGCTCCCCAGGGGATGGACACCGTGCCGACAGCCCCCCCGTGCCCCCGCTGCAGCTCCAAGGGTCCCTCAAAACTCTCCCAGAAGAGCAGTGGCCGAGCCCTGTCCTGTCACTGGGGGCTGCTCTGCCACCGTCCCTCTGGGCATGATGCTGTAACACACCCCATCACCTCTCCCCCGAGACACGGCTCCGAGAAAGGAAAAGCAGGTTTAATTATCAAGAGCACGACGCTTCCCGGAGGGAGCGGGTGCAGGTGAGCCAGGCGGCTCGGAGCAGGCGGGGGCTCGGAGTGCCCAGCAGAACCGTGCTGGGGGCTCCGGACAGGGACACAACCGCGGCTCTCACTCTGGAGAGGAGAAAAGCACCGTGCTGAGGCGACCCATTCGCTTTCAGAACAGGGACCGTGCCCCGGCGCTGGGGATGGTCAGGGACACTGCGGGGGATGCCGAGGGGGAGGCACATCCCCTGGGGAGAAGGAACGGAAGGGCTGGAAAACTGCTGCTGCGTGCGGGGAAGGGGCTGCGGCACCACGGTTCATCTCAGGTCACCGCTTGCCGACGCGCCTCAGCCGAGGGACGGCCGGGCAGAGCCCCAGCCCTGCTCAGCACCCCTCTGCAGCCGCAGCAGCCGCCCGGAGGCCGCGGTGAGGGGCTCCCACACCCTCCCCAGCTCGGCCTGCGGGCGCAGGGGCCGCTTTGGGAGCGGGGCACGGCTGCGAGGGGACGTGCGAGCGCAGGCGCGCCCAGGCCGAGCCTCGCTTCTCCCCACTCCTCGCTCCCACCGCCCCGTCCCGGCTGCGCCCCGAGGGCTCTGGACGTGTCCCACAGGCTGGGCCTCGGGGGGCAGAGGGTGACCCCCAGCTTGCAGGCAGGAAGGCCGCAACACCCTCCTTCAGCTGGGCCCCCCGCGTCTGGGCCTGCGTACGTTCGAGGGGGGAAACAACCCCCCCGAGCAGCCCCCTCCTACCTTGCAGTCCGTCAGGCAGGATCTGACCGAGTAATCTTCCGATTGCAAGTACTTCTCCAGCAAGAGGTCGAACTCCTCGTATTTTTCCTGAGCGTGTTGGTCCAGCCGCTGGTACGCCTGGACGCAGCTGCTACAGGCCTCCCCGCCCAGCGCGCCGGCCGCCGCCACCACCAAATCCACCATCAGGTTGTCCAGGCTGCAGTCCAGACCGTCCGGGCCGGCCATCTCCCGCAGCAGGTCCCAGATCGTGTAGGTATCACAAAAAGAGAGGTTGAAGTTTCTAAAGTAAGCCTGCAGGAAGGTCCTTTTGGAGGAGGGAGAGGCCAAGAAAGGGGCAGCGACGGCGGCGGCGTTGGGGGGCGAGCGGAG